AACCAGTCCCCAGAAGGTGAATCTCTTTCAGATGGTAATACAATCCGTGTGTCTCCATGGCAACCATGGCGGGTTTACTAACAGGATATTTTTGTCTGTTTCCTTATGTATAAATCTTATTGGGTCTGTAGGTAAACATGGGAAAGTAGGAAACGAACTTGCTATCGATTCAATCACAATATGTCCTGGCATATAAAACATTTTTGCCAAAATCACCAAAGTAAAATTATTTATAGATATTTTTGTGTAGATGAAGCATGTGTATTGTATTTAACAGCATTCATACGTACTGGTATCTAAATAAATTTTAATTCTGATCTTTATGCTATTGAATTGAAACATGCAAAAACGGAAAAAGAGTTATATCCTGATAATCAAGAAATGAAATTACTGTAAATCTGTAAATGCCAAACATCTTTGACAAAATTGATATAATACATTTTGTATTCACTCGATAATTCAAATAAAAACGTGGTTGAATTTATCAAATATAATATTTTCAGTTAGTTTTATCCAGAATCTGTTCTCCTAGTTCTACAGTCAAAATAATGCTGAGGCAACATTACATATTAAACCCACTCCATGACACAGCTGAGCGTTTTAAAGAAACAGGCTGCATGACGAAGATAATGGACACACCCATCGCAGGATTCAATTAGTAAACACCTGTCTATATACATTACATCCTGACTCATATATTCATATCCATACATTACTCATCAAATAAAACCCATAGAAATATGTTGGTGGTAAAGGAAGTAAAAAGTGGTCTGTGTTGGAATATACAGGATCATAAACATTCATATCTGAGGGAGCAATTTCTTTCTTCAAATACTTTCTTCAAATACTGACCAACAAATTATATCTGTTGGATGCTAAGAATGACCCCATATCCTATTCTAACAGTATCCAATATTGGTCAGAGGGACCAAAGAATCTACTCATGGGGGTCAGTAAGGGATTAATTTCATCACAACCTGAACCATTGCCATACTACTGGTCAGCGGGCCCAATCTGCTTATGGGGGTCAGAAGATTATTTCATCACAACCCAAACCATGCTATACTGGACAGTCAGTTAAGATTATTAAGTTCCTTGAGCCAGGACGGACAACGTCACATCTGTTTCTACACCTCTGTCATTGTACCCCTGCCAGCAGGCAGTGGGCAGACAGCAGATTTGGCTGTAGTCGGTCACACCTATGATTTACACCTAGCTCACACAAAGGAGCTTATCTCAACAAGACAGGAGGCACGAGGCCTGAACAAAAGATCGCCTGCTGATGCCTTGGCTTTCGGGACAGACAAAAACCACTCCATCACATGTCAATGATTAAAGTAATTTTGAAATTTACATCTCAATTAGCATGATTGTCAAGTTTGAAGACATTTGTGTGATTGCTTGTTTGTGACACAGGTTATAAAATGTAGGATTGAACAAACAAATTGGATCATTCTTTCTGTATATCTGCTTCAGAAACATGCATCCCAACTGTATAACTGACTTATTGATCCCCATATTGGACATTGATTTAAACATAATAACACACTGCATTTGGGGCAATACAATAATGTTCACACTCAAAGACAGGACTGCTCTCAACTTTGCCATATAAATGTGATAACTGCGATGTATTTATAACTCTCAATGTCACAAACATGAAGAAATGTTCATTATTCTACCATTTGACATTTCGAGTCATTATTTTTCAAGGAAATCTCATTGCCATAAATTATGATAAAAACAATTACATTATCAGATTCAAACTTGATAGATTTCTTAATCTCTTTTTTCATAACCAACTACCTGTGTCTCCAAGCGCTCAGCTTGAAAACATCTCGTACATTTGGATATTACAATTCATGACCATAAATTTCATCCAAGCATAAAACACAAATTTCACTTTTTTCCATAACATCAAAAGAAACAATAGCTGTGCTATGGTCTAAACACCACTTTGATAATGAAACCTCAAGCCTAGGATAGTCCCTCTGGGCAAGGGTTATTCCCTAAATGCAAGTCTCTTTGTTTCACGGAGTTGCTTGCACCTAGACTGTGGATATGGGTGAGAGACTCGGCCATTCTCCACCTGTCATCGTGAGAGACAGAAGTTGGTGTGATGTCACAGCTACAGCTGGCCTACTCCAGGATATATAAATATTATTCACCATGCTTGACAAGGCAAACCACCAATGTAATTTTAACTCCTAAATTTAAAGTTCAGACAATATGAACAATATTATTTATTAATTACAGACACTGGTTGATATTGGTTGATTAATTTATGTTCTGCGAGATGCGTACGGTAAATTTAAATAGAGAAATCATTAAAGTGGATTCAATGAAAATTGTATTAATTTTAATTTCAACTTTATAAACATCTATTCTTTCAGAAGTAGTAAATTTTTTAACCAATTCATGTTCATGCTGTATTTGATAACAGTACCTAATGGGACACTTACCCTCACACAGAAATGGCACCTGCCGACAATGTGGTATCTCAGAAAATAATTTGGCCAAATTCCTTGTTATTTATTGTTATAATGTGGTAACTGCAGATGAAATTGCATGGGCTCATTGCTACACATTACTGGTGTAAAACTAAATTTGTGCTGCCTCTATCCATCAGAATGCCTGTTCACTCTCTACGCCATTGCTTTTGATCAATAGTTCGCAGATGTCAGCCGAGCCAATTAGCTTATTTTCTTCAGGGAGTTTCTTGTCAATAAAAAGAATCCAGTTAAAATTAGATCTTTCACTGTAGGTAAAGATCTTGTTTAAAAACTATCAGGTGTAATACATCAAGATTTTCGTAACTGCACCAAATACTACAATGGTACATAAAACAACAAAATCAAATGCTTGTGTGACTTTTACTGTTATATCATATATGTCTGTTTTGTGGATGAAACAAAATATTAGAATGAATATTGATTAAAAAAATGGACTTGAAGAAATCTGTTGAAGCATTGCCTTTTTTGAAGATTTGGAAAATACATTTTGATGACAATGTTAATTTTTTGACACATAAGAACCAGAATTCTTGATAAATTGAAAGTCTACATCCGCAAAGACTGTGTTTTAGAAAATTCAACTCATCGCTGAAAGCATGCTGTAGAAGTAACTTCTCTAGTATCACCTGGTGCTTGAGAATAACCCTTAAAAACAAAACGTTAAATCCAATTTAACACATGGTGCCCCGGTACAATATCTTAATTAAGAGAATCTAGTTCATCAAATTACAGACCAGTCACAGACTTGGGCAACATAGAATAAAACAATGGTAGAAATGGCACCGCGAGCCTTGAATAGAGCTTGTCTACCACTACTTCCCTTCATCCTATTTGGCTGGCTTTGTACAGCAATGAGAAAATAGCTTGGCAACGCGTGACTGCCACTGCGCTGTCATGGCACTATTATGAAGCAGTGAACTGCAACTGAAAAAATGTCATAGCGACTGCGCCAAACAGGAACACTCTGAACTTGCTCTGAAACAAAAGTGGTAACTAGGCAACCAGATTGCTCCGAGAGAGCTGCCAAGGAAATGGGGATTTTGAACCCCACTTGTTATAGAGCTTAGTAACAAAGTCAAACCTAGTATCTTGGGTCACTACATCATGGTAAAGAGCTTTATGAAAAAATGATTATATACACTAATTCTGACCTTGATTTTGAATATTCATGAAATAAAAAGCTTAAAACTTATAAAATGCTTGGTAAATTGTTGCTAAACAGAGCCTTAGTTATTCTTAATGAGATTGCCAAGGGTAATGTTTTATCTAAATTGGCCACAGAAGCATAGTGGTTGATTTGAGTGGTGTGGGTAATGCCAGGTATCTGTGAAATATCTCTACAAGCCCAGCTGGCAGGAGGGAGAGCTGGACTGCCTGCCCTGCATGCAGTGGGGGCCATCAGTCCCTGGGGCTCCTCACAGTGAACCGCTGGTCAATTATATGTAGCTACATCCCTTATAGGGCTTCACTTTAAATTAGCACGAGTCTGTGTGCCATTGTAGCTGACAGTATTCGGCCTTTGTTCCCAAGATTATTGTCTTGGTACAAGGCTCTGAAGCCATTAATAACCTCCGGTAGTAGAGAGAAAAGAGGATGAATTGTCATCGAATATTAATGTGCCCAGCATCCACAGAACAAACAAAACTAAATTAAAAACAACTTTGAAATATTTTTGCATTTGCTGATGAAGATTGTTTCATCAATGTTTCTGTCAGAAAAAAAGGTATTTGTATTTTTCGTTTCAGTTGGTTGTTGAGTGGTACTTTTAAGATCTGCTAAAAATAGTTTTGGAGGCTCAGTGTTGTCCAAAAGTAATTACACAAAAGAGAATCCTGACATATTGTCTAGACCTGTGTTTTTTCCCCAAGAGGACAAATGTCATCTTGCAGCATCGAACTGTTATCAGGGAATAATGTTGAACATTGTTGTACAAAGACACACACTTTACACTCTTCATTACAAATTCTACAATCAGCTAAAAACAAATAATAACACTGTACAACATTAAGCAACAGTGTAATAGAATGTCACTATTTCTGTGAAGTATAAGTGCATGAATCATGCTACTAGGTGCTAAAATGTTACACATTGTTACCATAGAGACCTTACAGAAGAGGGTGGTATGAAACGTATTGCTCTGTCACTCTGATCTAAATGATCCAAATAATTTGTTTTAGGATCAATTTGGCTGACTCCTCCACATCAATTTATTGATCAACTTGAGTCAAAACATACAACACGTGTCTTAGGCTATTTCTCCAATGTAAGAGATAAAATCCAACATTATATAGCAACTTGTGATCGTTTAAGTGATAAATCTGCAGGAATGTGTTTCACTTTTCACACTGCTAATATAACAGATACAAGACTGAAAGAATGATGTGTGAGTGTGTAGCTATTCCGTACAAGCAATAGTGTAAACGACGTAACTAAAACAAGGATACTAATACTGAAACAAAGAATGGAAAGCGCAGAGAGGAATATTACCTGCTAACCGAAGAGCTGACATTCTTTGAAATTCGGGTTCTTGTAACCATTTCCACATCCTTCTGAATGTTTCCCGTCCAGACTTGAGTTTGCTCCAAGGTTTGGGGTTTCTCAACAAGTCGCTCAAAGTCCCTTGACTCCGACATAGTACCCTCTGTGCAAAAACTGCTTGTGGTATGCTGTAGCGCTTCAATTCGCTACTTATTCTTTGTGCCAACTCTTTTGTGTTTATTTCTTCAACTTCTTGTTGCTTATTAGGAGATTCACATCCTGGCCCCAGTCGGTCTCGCTGTGGACTTTCACTGTGTGGAGAAGGAGTTGGTGCTGACCCATGCAGACCATTCATGGGGGACATCATTGGATTTGGAGAATGAAGACGGGCAGACACAGGGTCAATCCGAATTGGTGTGGAGGAATACGGTGAATCAAAAGTAGGCGAAACATGCATTTTGCTTTCGGGTTTAGGCGAACCAATGCCGTTTTGTCCATACCCGTATCCAAGACCTTGTTGGTAGTTATTGCTCATCATGGTCATTGGCGTGGCACCAAGAGATGGGCCCATGTTCATGCCCATACTGATCTTGTCGTAGCGGTATGGGCTCATGTCCATCCCGATCCCATTATTCTGAGGCATCAAGGTAAAACTTCCACTGACATTTGACGAAGGAACATGACTGAATTTGTCTGAAACAGTTGAGATCGGCGGTAGCGGCTGAAGAGGGGTGAGCGTTGCGTAGCTGTTGGTAGGACTATAGTTGGGGGACATCCTACCATTGAGGGTATGGTAGGTAGCCTCCCCCATTTGGGAGCGGAACTCACTGCTGTCTATCATGCCGCTGACACTGACTGGAATGGCGTCTGCCCGGGATATACTAGTAGGCGAGACGGACAACTCGGGGTTACTCACGTACTCGGTCTCGCTGGCTGTGCTACTACTGGCGGGCGCCGCGGTTGTGCTGACAGACGACGAATCGCTGATTTGTTGATCACTCGTTGGGAGCTCCCCCATGTTTTCCATCGTCATTCCTACGATCAACAACCGATCGAACAATAAAGAATGATAAACTGTCACTTATTGTAACCTTTGCTAGCGATCTGCTGGTTGGCTGGTCTGTTTAGGGGGCTATTTACGTACGCTGGGGAACTGACAATAATCTCCAAGCCTTGGTCGATCCGCCATGTTTAGACAGCTGTAACCCAACGACCTGCGCACAAACGCACTGCGCATTTCAAAAACCACAATACGCGTGCGCAAATAATTAAGCGTTCGGGGTTCGCATACGTTTAGCGAGTTACCTTTAGTTTGGTCTTGGTGTGCAACCAACACACTTAAGACCTACCGGGTATTACATGTGATTTGATGATCACCTGTTTGTGCTAGTTCCATTTTGGAGAAGTGATAGCATTAATTCACATAGGTAAATATTCTTGTGCATGAATAAATGAACAGGTAAAGTTTATTTTCTCATTTTCTACATCAAGGGCTTTCTTCTCAAAACTTTTTCCTCCGACTTCTAAAAAGTTTCATGCTTGTTTTCGAATGCATCAGTCATACTTGTGTTGAAATGTTGATATAGGATTATGTTTCAAGATGTCCTATATAACATCTAACTAATGAAAGTTTGACGTTTCTTCAACTGTAAGTAAAACTTACTTATATTGTTTAACAGTAGCACCGATAGTTTGCGTTTTAGCCAAACAGTAAGTAATACATACATGCTTAATACGACTTGTTCATTTGTGCACGTTGATTTAACGTTATTAAAATTAATCACTCACGCAATACCTACACTGTGTGTGGTTACACACAAGGGTTCGACGGAGTACAAATTAAACATTTTTAATTAGTTGTCAACGCTTGGTTAGTCAAAGAACGGCACTGGGTACGGAAAGTTACCAAACAGTGGAGCTCACTTAAACATTGTTTATTGTCGACAGAAAACAAAAGTATCACAATCAGTATGCCGAGCCTGTTTGTTTATCACATGCGCTTGCGAACACAATTTACAAGCATATTCGCCGGGTTATGAATAATTGACAGGGTTCTTGTTGTAAAGATTGATAATTAAGACTGGCATCTGAGTGTGAAATCGCATTGCACAGACAAGACGATTGCGATCTGAGGTTCATAGACTTGAAAACGGTTGGCGGAACTTCCAGACATACGCTGTATGCAAATCAGACTTTGACCGATGGGAATTGAGGCTGTATTTGACTTATACCAATTAAAGATGTATATATTCTTTACAATCCATGCCTTTAATCACTGAATGTTTTTAACCAGCTTTTGTTATCTAACGCATTTTATACATGGTGATTGTTTTAAAGTCACTGACACAATAGCTTCTTAATGTGTCAGGGTGTTTCAATTCTAAAAATTAATCAAATCGGTTTTGATATATTTAACTTTTGACAAGGATAGTTGCAGAATTTCTGTCTACATAGTGTATATAATATGTAATCAAATATGTTATATGTACCGTGTCGATGCATACGTTTCATAACATGGAACCAACTAATTGTGACAGTATCACAAAAAAACAAATAATATCTTGCATATACTGAAATTATCACAGAGCTTCTTCAAGCTGTGAGATTGACGTGTTTATTAGGAGCATTTCTACAGCATTGTACGAGGGTAATAGCAAGAGATAAACATACATAGCAACTGCTTAACTACTGACCACAGCTGATTCAAAAGGGACCACAAATAAACAAGTCATGCACGATGCATGTGTGAAGTAGTTTTACATTAAAAGCGCGCGTGTGTACAATCATCGTCAAGTGGCTCGTCCATCAAAGATTTTGAGTGGACGAGTTTGAAATGTCGGTGAAATTACCGTTATATTGGTTCAGGTAAAAGATGAAGAAGTTTCAACACGTGTTTTTTTTAAAAGCATGTATTAATATGTATATCGGTTTATATTGAGATCGTTGACAGTAAACTTATGGTTGGATCTGGATATATAAGTAAATGTAAAAGTAAAAAAGCATAGATAATTAACTTCTCTAATATAACGTCTTAAGGACATGCATGTAAAGAACGTCTTCTCGCCCCACATTGAAAATAATGAATTCACACAAAAAGTAGTTTTTAATACACTCTTCCAAAGTCTCACAATAACAAGCAACACACATTATTATAAATGCTGATTCCCTCCGAAATAAATAAACCCAGACACTTAATACATGTTACGGGAGCAAAGCACGAGCAGAGAGTAGAGAGAATAATACTCAAAGATAAGTATTTATCTGAAAACACGTGCCGCGGTTATAACAGTAAATTCTCTTCGTATATCCTCCCCCAACGACGACTTCACGGTATCTAGGCCCTGGTCTTAGCACTAAAGCATCACATCTAGCTAAGGGAGTGAAACAAGGAGAAAACTTAACATAAAACCTATAAAGTCATTGTTTTCTTCCATGGAACATGTTGACGGATCTGTCCACACGTAAATCTCACTATCGGAACAACAGGTAACTGAAACGCTGACTTTCGATTCATCGAGCGTTTTGTTCAATAGTTACTTGTCGGTTTACCTCAGCTTCGAGGCGATCAAAGGCAGAAATGGCCAAAATACTGATTTTCAATAACTCTCCTTGCATGGAGGCCTTATATCAATGCAAAATAATAAAGCGCTTCAGAGGGGTAATTCCCGTTGCATCATCCAAACGCCTTCCTTTGGTGCTGCTTTGAGGAAGAATTTTGTGTTTTAAAGTCACTTTTGCGATGGATTTATGTCAATTTCACTTCGGATACTATACTTCTTGTTTACGGATATGCATAAACGATGTGGATTTCTCATATACGTCTGGCATAACTTGTTAATTGCTATAGGTAAGTGGACGGTTTTGAAGAGGTTGGATGGTGGTGTTTAAGATTATATATTTGAGATGAGTGACATGGTGAGTGAGTGCAGCTGGATGAAAGACGGGTGTAGTTTATTTCCAGATAGTCGCACGGGTTTCATGCACAGATACAACCACACAGCGGAGTTGAAGTCTCGGACTAGCAATGCACACGTGTCAATCAAGTCAGCTGGTTCAAAAGCATCTTTTATAAGCGTAATGTCAAGTTTACATTAAAGTAATTGTGTGTATGTGTGTGTATATAGTTCACAAACATTTAAACTATCGAGTTTATCAATAGCCAACCCTTCGGGACAAAACGTATGTACTCACGATCTTAAAGTACTTCACACTGATACATATATTTGTCAATTTTTTGTTGAATTTCATCACAAAAGTACAACTATTCGAAATTCTGAAAACAGTTTTTGCTATTTGGGAGCATACGTAAGGATTATAAACTTTCTGTAGAGCATCTAACTTTGAAATTTAATGTGCGCACGAGAATAATGTATATAAGGAGAGTCAGTGATATAAGTCGTGTTGTTTATCACAGTGGACATGTGGCAGAGAACAAACCAGTAGGTGTAAAAGCGCCATTCATAGACCCCCGAGGTTATCACCTGAACACTAACAAAAGCTAATATGTGCATATGAAAACCGCTGCATGTTAGAGCCCTAATTTCCCCTTTTTCCATCTTCCAAATCCGTCATTGTGTGATAACGGTGTTGAAAAAGGTCCTATTCATGTCGACAGAAACAATTACCTTTTCTCGTAATTCATTCACTTGTGTGTAGCGCTCCCAACACAATACAGCCTCATGCTAAAACACAACAGGAAAATATACGAAAATGATTTATTGCATTTATAACGTAGACCATATGCATTAAAACCATTTATGGTTTCCTTTTTAATGAAAACAGGGCTATTCCAATTGCGTTTTCCAATGAATGTAGCCTGCGCATATCTGCAATGACTGTTATGAAATATACCAGTAGCGTTGTCATACACATTCGTATGGAAGACGTGATGTTAATAGATTAATCGCGTGCAGTTACACAATTACCAGACTAAGTTGATGCGATTATAGACATACGCCCTTGATGGTACAGGACAAAGACGAAGAATACATTCTATCAATTTCTCTATTTACTATTCCAGGCGCATCTATTCGCCCGTGGAAATGTAAACTGTTTTAGGCTTGCATTCCTCCAAACTACAATTTTACTTATTTGCTCAGTTCTTTGCAAATGTCTCAAATAAGCAATAAGCCATATGCGTAATGATCAATTTATATCGGATATCTCATTACGTGAATATTTTTTGTTTGTATTTAACACACAACATGTGTTAAAAACATTCGTTAGTGATTATCATTTATTTTACAGAAACCTATTTATTGTAATACCTTCTCGATCAAATGATGGCGAAGTATTGACGATACATGCGCCTTGAGAGCTTGCGATGACTAACAATAACATGATAGACAACAGCAATGTTTCAAGCATCCTTTCAAAGCCATTACATCTCGATGTTATATTGCCTACATTCAGTAGCGTATAACTGTTATATTATATATATATCATTACAAAATGTGCAAAATGTCAAACTATGAATGCGTAAATGTATGATCATTCGTATTAACATATATTCGTATATCTCTCACAACAGTTTTTGCGAATTGTCCATTCCACACCGACATAGATACAATGTATGTTGCGAGGATAAGATAGTGTGTGTTCGCTAAGCCCATTGTTACATATCATTAATGCATGTAAAACATTCTTTTCTTTTTTAAAAATCTTAGACCGTTTTCCTTTTTAAGGCAGGGAGCATGAAGTAAATTTCGTCTTTGAAAGTTGATAAAATTTCTGAGGCTGTAGAACACTCAGGTAGTCGAGTGGATACGACTCTCCTAGAATTGATTCTCATGTCACACGAGTCACAGTGGCACGTTCCGATGTGCCGAGCACACTGAGCTCAGAAGTGCCGCCTCTTTTCAATCAAAACAAACACCTCAAAGGGGCGGGCCTTTGTTCTCAGCGATGCATATTCATGAACCAAGTCCCGTTATATTGACGTAAACTTGTCAATATCGCGATGCCACATCGGACCAATCAGCGCGCTCGTTACAAACCGCCCTGTCGCTCATATCGTCAATGAACAGTGCGGTGCGGGTTTATAAAACGATTACACTGGGGATTTAGATTTTAGACTTACGTTGATTCCTTCTGAACTATTATGATACCTGTTACGTGAAAATGTGTTCAACTGAATTGACAATAAATGCATTGTTTACGTTTTGATTTGTTGTAGGGGACTGAAGGTTTTATCATGGCGGCAATTAGAAGGAAGCATGGGAAAGTCGCTTTGGCAAGTTCAGCCACGGTGTTGTTTTGTGACACTGGGTAATTCAGTTATCATTGATTCGTCTTGGATTTATAACAACAATTTCGATAACCGTTTATATCTGTATATTAGTCGAAATCAGCCCTCAATCTTTCAACACGTGGTTGACAAACCAGCTCGTGCCTATGCGGGATCGATCCCTTACGAATCGATACATTCTATCAATGAAACAGACTTTGGGGAATCACCCAGTGAGGGAATTTACTACGTTTACTACAATCCTCGATTAATTTATAGCTATTGACGGATTTTCGTCAACGGCACGATCCCAGTATGAAATATTCGATTCCACCTTATTCTCGTTGTCAATATTCCTTGTCTGACTTGCTGCAGTTAGGAATCAGGTTAAAATGATCCTGTCAATCGAATATCAGAACACTGCAAACATGCATTGTTACATGTTTATTAGGTTACAATGTCACTGTTGTTTGTTAAGGTAGTTTGAATTAGTTTCTTCAATAATACTATTGATAGCTTCATGAACTAGGGGTGAATCTCATTATCGCTGTGTCATCAATTTATCCATGTTTGGTTCATTGTTGGAGCAATATCTGTGTCATCAGTCATCAATAACCTCTCTAGAGATGAAGACACATAGGTTTTATTGAAATAATTGAGCCCTTAACCCTACCCAATAATTACTTAAGGAGAAAGTCTGATACCTACCTATATGCAGGGTTTATTGACAAATTCTATGATCTTTGCACAAGTACTTTACTGGAGGTTTATTGATATGGTGTGTAATTGATATGGTATATATTATAGTATTAGGGTTCCGTGTACTAATCATGTTCACATTGTTTCATAATATCCTTTTTTTCTGTCTGAATGAGACCTGATAACTCGTCTTTCGAGTTTCGGAAGAACAATATAGTTACATTCCAATCATGTATTGAATGTAGTAAAGTCTACAGATTTCTTTTCTGGATTGTAAGATTTAATGAAACTAATATAATATTTATTTTTATGATTTTCTTTTCAATTTAAAAGACATTGTTGACTTTGTTTGTGGCCCTTGCAAATCAATGTATAACATAACAGCAGGGGTCCGGAAACCGTCATATGCGCCGGACATGTCCGATTGGGAATCTCAAATGTCCGGTTTAAAATATTGCTTACCGGACATTTAAATTTTTCTGTCCGGACATTTTAAAAAGTATTGTCCGGACATTCTTAAATTTTGACCGGACATGATCAAAACAGTTAGGACTGAGCAGTTTCTGTCTGCAGTTGTAACACAATGAAGATTATCTACACTGACAAGCTTTGTTTGTTTTGATTGCTGTAAATACATCGTACCTACCTGTTATGATAACAGCCTTATGTCCTGATACAGAATTGTATTACATTAGTGGTTTTACCATGAGGTAATCTTACCACAGATGCTGAGAATTTGCTGATGAAATCTTGGGCATTGTGCTCTCTTGTGAAATTTTATACTAATATTCTTATCAATTATAATGAATTATTAGAAACAAACCCGTCTCAACTGATTGATTGCTACACCTAAGAGTTTGCTTTTAAGGTTTAATTGAGAAAAATTATTGTTTTCAGTATAAGTGAAGATACAATTAAACATTGACTATCAGTACACAATGGAATATTCTGGCCATAAGCATGAGTTATTTGCAGTATGTATTACATGTATGTAGTAACACATCAATGAGTCATTATTGAATCTTACTTTTCTGTCACAGCAGCAAGATTAGACAGTCTGTGAGTTTTACAAGAATTTATTGTCAGCATTGAAAGCTAAATGTTTGAATTGAAGAGGATTCATGGTTCATGTTTTTCCGTATTGAAGATCTTCTAATGGTTATTGTAGCGCTATGACAGAAAGTTTATCTGTTTTTCAGATTTTTACCTTTAGCGGTTCACACTTCTATGTGGACATACAGGGAAAGAATTTCATTTGCTATGACATTTGGTGATGCTTTTAAAATAATTGATTAATGAATCTGAAAGCGGACAAAAGACTATAATCGGATAACACTATTTTTTTTCTGCTGAATGCAAACTTAACACACAATAACTGCTTATATAACACATTATATAAACCACAAGATTGGCTTGTTAAACACAGCACACATGGTAACATAGTCAAATAACTTCTTGAAGAACAAAAAAGAAATCTGAAATATATTTTTTCTTTTTTCTCCAAGGTATACTAAATGTCTTGCTTTAATTTTTGTCTAAATTATTAATACTCTTCTTTTTAAGATGTTAACATTTCATGTAATACTGTAATATAAATTTTAGTGTTTAGGCTGTTATGCTTTAAGAGATGGCACGTTTGTCTCTAGACCCAGCCATTGGGAAGATTGCATCCTTCAGTCTGATACAAAATATAGGCAGGGCTAAAAATAGTCATCTAATCCAATCAAAGCCCTGTGGGTACTCTGAATTAGGAAAGGTGCCTGGCAACCAATGCTGGTTGTAAGTGGCGATTTAGTGAATTCGTCAAACTCGGTGTCAATCACTGGATTGTCGGTTCAGACTTGATTATTTACAGCCAGCCATTATATTGCTGGAATATTGCTGTGTGTGACATTACACGAGAAACAAATGGAACGTACCAAACGTGTTTGAAATAACTGATGCTGATTACTAATAAGAGGGATAGGGATGCTGACGTCAGTTCGTAACTGAAGCTATGGTAGTGAAAGGGATTCAATACACTGGATTATTGAGGATTGGTTACCTTCTACATTAGTTATTTGGCTACTTTTACCACATGTTTGGCTTGTCATAAGTCCATTTCAAGTTTTGCCTGGTATGAAAGAAGCATGAAATGTGTCAGGGTGGCTGCAAGTGTTGTTGGTGTAGTTTTGGCAATGCAGGGAATCTGGACCTTTAGCTGTTAGACTGAACCAAGAATGTAGTAATCTAGGTTTTAGTGAGGTAGGCCCAGCGAATGATAGAGATTTAGCATGGGTTTTAAACTAAGTAATAAATTAAAGTAGTATTTTTTACTACATTGGGATTTTTTAAAGTCTTTATTTTTATAAATTCACAGGTACTTTACTTTGCATTGAATGAAATAATTTAATACAGAGTATTAATGTCTTTTAATTTTCTCTGTATTGGTCCTACTATTCATTAAAATTCAAATTATCTAAAACTTTACTTTCATTTGTTATAACCTGGATTGGGGTATTTTTAGTTCAAATTTGGAATTTTTACTGTTATGTTATGTAGACCTGGGGTTGGAATATCAATATCTAAGGCTCCAAGATAAATCGTTGAATAACAGTCAATATGTGAAAAGCTACTGACACAGATGCTGGAGGCAGTCAGTGTTCAAGTAGCTCAATACAACAGCTTGTTCTCAATCAGAAAATGACATATTTAAAAAATAAAGGGTGAGGTGATTACATTAGACTAGTGGTCAACAAATAATCAACCTCTGAGGTGTAGCTGATCCACAGCTGGTCAAGTGAAACCCATGAGGTACAGCTGATCCACAGCTGGTCAAGTGAAACCCATGAGGTACAGCTGATCCACAGCTGGTAATGTGAAACCCAAGAGGCACTGTTGATCCACAGCTGATAAAGTGAAACCCATGAGGCACTGTTGACCCACAGCTATAAAGTGAAACCCATGAGGTACAGCTGATCCACAGCTGGTAATGTGAAACCCATGAGGTACAGCTGATCCACAGCTGGTAATTTGAAACCCATGAGGCACTGTTGATCCACAGCTGATAAAGTGAAACCCATGAGGCACTGTTGACCCACAGCTTACAAGGTGAAACCCATGAGGTACAGCTGATCCACAGCTGGTAATGTGAAACCCAAGAGGCACTGTTGATCCACAGCTGATAAAGTGAAACCCATGAGGTACAGCTGATCTACAGCTGGTTGAGTGAAACCAAAGAGCCAGAGATGTGGAATCATCATGCTCAACCTGAGCATTTTTCATCTACATCTACATACAAGTTATTTTTCTCTAGTGCATAGTTTGCCTGGATTTTTAAGAAATTGGCAATTCACATCCATAGTAACTGTTGGGAATTGAAACAGTTTTGTACAGTCAACCACAATATGTTGTCAATGTTGAATTGGTCACCCAAACTGTTTGAATGATGATTTGGAGTAATGTGAAATTTGTGACTTTTGTCCTTCTGTCTGCGGTCGGTTGGTATTGTGACATGGTTCGAAAAATGTGTTGAACAGCTGCGGTTGTTGAATAAATAACTGCGTACAGAAATATTGCCTTAAATTTCATTCCCTACAAGAACAGTAACACTAAGGTACTTTATCATTGTACTTTATCATTGATATTCAAGAAATAATTTGTAAATACAAACTGACAAGATAGGTAATAGACTGGTATCTCAGGTCTGAAGTCACTCTTAGGTCAGGGTGTTTTGATAAGTGCCAGCTGTGAAACAGATATTGCCTCGATGTGCTTAAATTAAGTTTGACAAAGCATTACAAGCTTGACTTATGGGCACTCACTCACTCACACTCACTCACACACTCACACACACACACTCACTCACTCACTCACTCACTCACTCACTCACTCACTCACTCTCTCTCTCTCTCTCTCTCTCTCTATCATACCATATGCATATGCAGGTACCAATATCTGCTGACATGTGGTTTTGTTTGTCCCCGACCAGTGCATCTGTAGGCATTCCAGTTATCATTCTCAACACCCTGGGGAGTATACAGCTATATACAATTGCAACCATGTGCCAGGTCAGCACATCATGGCTGCAACCATGTGCCAGGTCAGCACATCATGGCTGCTATGGTGCCCCAGAGCACCTGGTCTGACCCCGGCTTACCTATGGGTTAGACTGCATTCAGTCTCTATGCGTCTTCATCTGATCAAGTTTATATAGCTAGGGTCACATGACAGGGATTTGATCATTAACATACACACTTCTAACAATAGTTGCTAAGCTTGTTTAGGATGGCTGACCATAGAGGAGCAGGACAATTCAGATCAGGATTAATCAAAGCAGGCTTATGTAGGGATTAGCACCTGG